ATATATATATATGTAAGATATTAATCTGGATATATATGGTATTCCCATGATTTTTCTCTATCCAAACAAAATATTTGGACCAATAAAAATATATTAATATATAATTGAAATTATATCGAATATCGTACACATCTCGTTAGAGAAATCTTTGTCTTAAGAAGCATCGTATTAGAGGAAAAAAATACACTGCGCTCAAATCGAAAAAGATAAAAATGAACCAACAGCGATAACACGTGCGAGCGATCGAGATAATGCTATATAATAGATTGTCGTACCGACAAACATGTCCCCAACGTTTGTTTCCGTAAATCTAGTTGGGATCATCCGAGAGTCCATGCAGGTAAAGAACACTGCTTTCGGCTAAAGATAAAAGCAACAATATACATCAGATTGTGATCTTTTGTTATAATTATAACTGTAGCTTGCAAATAGAGTGGAAGGTCTTTCGGTTAAATCTTTCGTCATTTCAATTCCTTTGTTGACTTTTACCGTTAAATATTTGAAAGGGTTCAAAATTTACATAATGAGGCTGTAACATTTCTTCTCATAAATTTTTTACATTATTTTTCCTTGAATAAAATTATTGATATCCTTAAGAGAGAGAGAGAGAGAGAGAGAAAGAAAGAGAGAGAGAGAGAGAGAGAGCATAATATAAGATCGTAAAATAAATTGAATATTTTATATATACTGTACTATATATTTTAGAGTAGAATAATATATCTCTCCTTTATATTAAAAGACTTTAGTAAGAATCTGGACTTTTTACTGATTGGCTTTGGCCAAAAATAGCAGAATCGATCGAAAATATTAAAATTTTCAACGTTGTAATTAATCTATGTAAATGTTTTTCTATATATAAAATCAGGTCACTATTTATTTTTGTCAAAATTGTCCGTAATGTTCAGACTTTTATTTGAGGGTCGCTTTTCACCAATAAAATACAGAATAATCGAAATCAGGTTTGAGCATTTACGCGTAAAATTTAATATTATATATTATTATATTATATATATTGATATTATATATTTTATTAATGGTTCTTAATAATATAATTCTATTTTTTTTTGCATTCTGACATTTAATTTATAATAGTTACGTAGTTCATATCCTTATTTCTATTATTATAAAAAAGTCCGTATAAATATTATGTAAATAATACATAAACAATACATGTAAATGTAATTTAGAAAATCACGGTACAATCCTGATTGCACGAAATATTTCCATCTTACATTACCATTGATGAATAAAATAGATGTTCTGCTCTGTATATATTCTATTGTATCGACAGAGTATGCTACCGGTAAAAACAGAACACACTGTAATCTACTTTTTACATCATGTAATATCGTCGGTAAGATCTTTTCTAAATGCCACGTACACAATATTTATATAAATAGACTGCGCGCTCCTATTGGAAATTCGATGACAACATTAGCAAAAGATGACAATAGAGAATTAGATGTTTTCCTTTTCTGATTGTGCATTTGATAGAAAGAAAATGAAAGTCGTCTCGCTCTTACATTCTCTCTCTCTCTCTTTCTCTTACTCTCACTCTTCTATTTTTCTTACATCGCTCTTTCCCAAAGCATTTTATGTGACGGAGAGACATCGATCTAAACGCATATTTCTGTCCTTTAATTTTATTATTATTTGTACAAAGTCTATTTATATATAAGTTTATATATACGTGAAATATGACATTCGCGACATTTTAAAACCAATACCGTTAGATATGATGAGTATTCTAATCAGTTATTGGTCAATCAAGTTATTGGTCAATCAAGGGTTCAAGGTCATAATTTTAGGTCACTCTACATTTAAAAAAAATTGTCCGATTGTGTCAAATTAATTAAATTTATGGATTATATTAAGTAAATTGATTTGCAATTTTATTTTGGGTAAATGGCCCTCGATGCGCGTAAAAATTATATATCAATAAGTAGCACATGGACCCCCTATTGCTATAGCAATGTTACAGCGCGAGTACTTATGCACCGAAAAATCATGCGAGATTTTTTTCTTTGATATCATACGAGCGTACCTCGGGATGATCTCGGACTTGTTGAAATTGTTTCACCATCCCTTCCCGATGACACTTTCTGTACTTCATGATTCCTTTGAGTATTCTGTCCATCGTAGCATTCAAGCAACTAACTATGAAATAACTGTTAAAAATTTATTTTCCTGAATGAAGAGCAATGATAGTTCACAATTCCGCCATTTATCGACGCGACGGCGGGAAATTTAATTTTTCTTTGATTTAAATCAATTTAGATTTAAATACGTTTTTTTTAAAGTCAGCCACATCTTTAGTTCCAAATATATTTCAAGGACTAAAAATTCCTTCGAATATATATGAGTGGTCTTACAATAAATTTGAATTAAATTGAAGTGATATATTAATGAAAAAAGCAAAAGCTTAATAGCTTCTAATATTAAATATTATTTCTGGTTCATATCGGAAATTTTTATATTGATTCTCTTTAATTTATCAAAAAGCAAGCATAAAAAAAAAAAAAAAAAAAAAAACGGTTTGTGATATTAATATATTTTTTATTTACACATTTTTTTTTTAAATACACCTTAATCTGTTAAATCTCGTACACAAATTTTTTACTTATGGTGTAAATACACCATAGAACATCTATCCTACATCATTAACATTTATCATTTATCAATTTTACCATTATCATATGACCTTTATCATATTTTAATGCAACAGGCTGTATAATTACTTGAAAATTTATTTTATATTTGAAAGAAGAAAATTCTCAATAGTAAAATTTATCAATGAGTACATAATTAAGAGCAATCGCGATTATCTTTACCAAAAACTTTTACCATTGCGAGTCATATTCAAGACCTAAAGTCTCAGATAGACATTCAGTTTTATATTGTTATATTGTTATATATTTTGAAATGTATATTGTGAATTATATAGTAATACATGCAGATACAAAATAAAGACATATTACCGCAATGATTCATTTATTACTAATATTCATTGGGTATTGCAAGTTGACTTGGTTTATCGTCATAGACGTATTATATCATATTCATATATATAATATAAATGATGAATTTATTTTATATATTACGATTTAAGATATCGATAATCGTCAGCCTGCGTTAGGCTCTTTCAGACACGTCAATTATACATATACTTACTTTGTCATAGACGCTCATGTTGAAAACTGTACATTATAAAGTATATTTTGTGACCCGACTTCGTTAACGAACATGTTCTCTCAATCACATGCTTTATTATCTTAACGGCACAATGCAAAATTCTGAGTTTCGTAAATTCAACAGTTATTAACAGATTGGACCCGGGTGACGAGGCGCCTGGGTCGCGCCGACTTCTATCTGCTTAATGCCGAGCTCTGACTAGCGCGCTCCAATTTTTCGAAGTGTTTTCGCGCGTTGCGTATGTTAATTAATGTTGCCGCAGATGCTGAAAGAATATAACGTATGTTTTAACAACACAATTTTTAAAAATACAGTGAATAAATTTTGAATACTTACGTATAGTTGGGTCGGACATGATGACCATTACATATGTATTCGAAGTAAATATATCAATAAAAGCCGCGAAATTGCTATTTCTAACTTCCATGCTTTGAAACTGCGCCGCTAATTTACTGAAAAATTAATAATGTCTTGAATATTACATTTCTCACTCTTATTAATACCTTTTCTTTGTAACCTATAGTCTACTTACCTGCAACTCAATTTAAACTGTTTTATTATATTGGAAACTTTCTCAAAGCGATGAACATCCCTATGAAATTGTCGCTGACAATGGCTTATTACCAAAAAAGTCGCTCTTTCAAATAGAAGAACTTCATCTGCATCGATAATATTGGCAAACTGATTCAAACTTTGCTCAAGTTCTTTCACATTTGGAATCAACATGTATACGATGGACGACCAAGCCCTAAAATAATAACGATTAGTACTGGTTTGTAATCAGAATATTTGGAATACTACATTTGCTTATAAAACTTTGTTTATAATAACTACCTGTATAAAGTTTCATCCCATATACTAGTTCTAAAGCAAGTGCATTCCAAAGGCAAACTCAGTCTTTTTAGATCTTCCTCTCTCTCCCTAAATATATAATCACGTTGGTCCTCTTGTACAAGATCCATTTTGTGAACGAGGCAAAATATTTTTGCTTCTGGACTATTCTGTAGTATCGCTTCTAGACAGCTTTGATAATAATGCATATCTTTGTCCAATTCTCTTGATTCCACATCAAAGACATAAATTAATACCTCTACATTTCTGAATATGTTATCACGCTGTGATGCAAAATAATTTTCCATAAATGCTTCTTGGCCACCGCAATCCCATAAATTCAGCACCAAATTGCCGAGAAAACGAACGTGAGAGTGTTCTACATCAACTGTAACCAATTATTTTTTTTTAACAAATCCTGTAGGAATAATTATTATATATAGATAACTGACTTGTTGCTCCTAGACGATGAGTATCCCGAGCGATGTAATTTGCAAAAATAATGCTACGCATGCTCGTCTTCCCGGAGCCACTTTTGCCCATTAGCAATACCTAAAAAAAATATAATATTCACATACAATATTCTCATTCAGATGGAGTCATATATATTTGTGCACATTAATAAAAAATAAAAAAAATAAAAAATAAAAAAATCCACACAGATCCTACTCTCTGTATTTACACAATATTCATATCTTTACCTTCTTTTTCATCTCGGATGGATAACGTGCGTTTCAGTATAACTGCAAGAAAAATATCCCAGTCCTAACTTCGCAATGACTGACTTATCAGCTGTTCCGCCCTGGAAGAAGTGAGAATCGCACACAGCACAGAGCACAGTTCAGTTTCATCCCTACTTCTTTCACTCAAGACAAGGACAGAAATAGCATTCTGGGTATTTCTGTCCTTCTTATGTTTCCACGCTGTCTCTCATGGCAGGAGCCAATCTATATGTTTATAGTAACTATGGTCTGGTCTATCAGGCTTCTCTCTGGGCGTTTTCCAGCAAGGTACACAGACGACACAGTGTACTACACATTATCACGCGATTGGCTATATTTAAAATTTCTTCATTCGACAGCCAATCATGTGATAATAGTCGCTTTCCATTTACATCAGAACTCAGATAATTCTCACTTGCGTTCTCTCTCGCTCGCACGTAGCATACATGCGAGTGAGAGAGAACGCAAGTGAGAATTATCTGAGTTTTGATGTAAATGGAAAGCAACAAATGTGTAATACACTGTGTCATCCATAGACATAGTATATCTAGACCGAGCGTTTGCCTTTATTTAAGGAGTGGGGGTAAAGATACACGTAGAAAAGGACATACTCTGTTTCGTGCTCCTTGCGTTCTCTCTCGCTCGCACGTAGCATGACGAAAGAGAGCGCTATGCTCTGTGCGAGCGAGAGAGAACGCAAGGGGCACGAAACAGAGTATGTCATTTTCTACGTGCACCTCGGCTCCCACTCCTCAACACTCGGTCTAGATATACTATGTCTATGGTGTCATCTGTGTACCTTGCTGGAAAACGCTCTCTGTTGTTAGAAACAAAGAAGTATCGCTAGAATTTGGAATTCTTCGAAAATATATTTTATTGGATATATATTTTCTATTAATTTTAACTAAAGACACGCAAAAAGCATCTAAAGATTTGTGATAATTTATTTATGAAAAATTTAATATACTTACATGCGCATTATAGAAATGGGTCTTAAAAAAATCGATATTATTTCGCGCGACGTATCTATGTATATTCGTATCACAGGTCGGGAGAGATTGTGGTATTTAATTTTAATTTGACATAATAAACCATAATAAACAACTGTTGTCCGAGCAAAAGTGTGAAGGTAGTGAATTTTTTGGAACAACGTGGACAACTATAATTTTTATCGATATATATATATATACATCTTGCGATCAGCTGGACTTACCGCGAATAATCTGGTTTGGATTAAATCACCTGGCATAATTTTTTCACAAGACGATTGGAGCCATCATTATACGTCGACGATGTTGCACGTACACTCGTGTTTCGCGATTTCCAACGATCGTCCGAGATATCGGTTCTTGTGAGATTATTTATCGGAAACGTGAAGTCAATCTTCGTGTACGAGATGCATTTAATCGAACATGTTCTAAACATTTCATGAAATCGTTAGAACGTCGATTTTATACTCGCCCCGCGTGGCTTGTCATTAATATTTAAATCCCCGTTGTCTCAGAATGGTTCTGAATCGTAACGATAAGAGGAAGAGGAAAGAGGGAGATTTGGTGGATCTTATGGAACCACTTTCAGAATCTCCAAAGAGGTAATCTTTGCATATAAATCATTCCTAATTGCAACTGTCACAATAATATTGTTCTGTTCATAAAAAATAAAATACATTTAAAAAATATATATTTGTAATGACATTTATGTTTGTGTGTTTGCATATTTAAGTAGTAACATTTAAAAAATATATTGTAATATTAAATTAGTAATTTTTATTCACTTCAGGACCAAAGTTCACGCACAAAGAAAGTTTGCACAAGGTGCAAATACAGTGTTTAATACATCACCTACACCTGTCAAGGATAAAGAGAAAACTAAACCTGCCATGATGACAGAATTAATAACTCATAAACGTCCAAATACAGAGGACTTTCTAACGTTTTTATGCTTCAGAGGTTAATTATTATTATATCATATTATTATCATATTAAAAAAAAATATCAAACTTTATTCTATATTAAATCTATTATTTTTATTTTAACTTCTCTATCTTCTAAAGAATTACATTATACTATACTTTAAAGAATGCATACAGATAAGCTTTTGTCTCCATACTATTTATTTCATTTATTGATAAGATACAAACTGAAATATTTTGCAAAAGTAAAATATATATATATAAAATATATTCTGGAATCCAAGAGAGAGTATTAGTATTGATTGTTAAAGAAACTATGACATTTAATTTAATAAACTGTTATGATATTTTTTGATTATAGTTACAGTTATTCTAATTAGAATCAAAATATTTTTTTAAATGATAATTTTTTCCCCAAATTTAGGAACATCCATTTTGCCAGCCAGTTTGAATTTCTTCAACGTTGGTAACAAAAAAGAGAAACAAAGGCCTATATCAGCTCGTGCTTCTGCAGATAAGATATCATCCTGTACTAGTACTTCTATAGAAGTCCAGAAACAAGACACATGCCAGAAGAATGTGACAAAAGTAAAGCCTGTTGTCCCAGATAAAAAGAAAGTGCCTAGTACAATACACAAAAACATTACCAAACTTAAAACAGCAACATCTACAGTTCAAGCGCTTAAAAAGAAATATCAAGAGCAACGCCTTGCTAAACAGAGGATCAAGAATAAATTCAAAGCCACATGTGTTATGAGAACACGATCATGTACAGAGAGATCTATGATGAAGGCTGGTATTCAATTGGCGCCGAGAAAATTCTTACCTGGAATTGAAACAAAGAGACATGGCTTGAGAAGTGGTGTACTGCCAGATAAAGGCAACAAATCTTTATCAAAGACAAAAATCGTGCCACCTAAACCCAAGAAGAAAGTTAATCTGAAACTGAAAAATAACGACACATATACAGATGTATCTGAAGAGGAGCATGATGAAAAAGATGATGAAGAAGAAGAGTTACCTATGGAAAAGTCGACATCACAAATAAAACGTAACATACAAAAAAGTATTCAGAAAAAGATTTGTACCAGAAGTAAATCAGAGATGAGAAGAGTTACGAGATCACATAGTGGCATAATTTCTTCGCAAAATTCCTCTAGGAGGCCTACTAGAAAAACTAAGGAAGCAGCTGCTGTGTATATGGAAATTCTTGGTAGAAAACTAGTGAGCCCGGATCTAGAGAATGAAGATAACATTTCAATCGAGAGTTTTCCCGAATTGCCAAATGCTCGTAGGATAGCGCAAACAGAAAACGAGCTCAAAGCCAAAGTAAAACAGACTAGTACGAAAACTGTTAGTAAAACTAAGGATTCTAAGGTTAATTCTTTTAACAGTAATGGTAATAAGCGATTGGATAAGAGCAAAAACAACAAACTAATTCTAAAAAGCAAACGTCTAATGAGAGTGCAGAGATATTGCGAGGAAGATAGTGACGAGGAATCTGAAAGCTCGATAGAAACAAACAATACGAGACCTATTACCAGACAAAGTCTTGGAAAACTTGACAAACCAATTGGTAGGAGCCTCAGATCGTCCTCCAAAAATACAGCTGTACAATCAGAAGTACAAAGTAACACAAATAACAAACCGAAGATTCAAGCTCAAAGTTGTATAAAATCTGCTAAGGAAAAATTTGTGATGAAACGTAAACGTGATCAAAATTTGTCTAAAACATCATCGTCAGATAAAATTAGTGAATCGAAACAGAAATGTTCTAAAAATGATCAGAACAAAAACGTGGAATCCGAAGAGGAAACATTGGGAATGTTGCTCAATAAAATGAAAAAGAAAAAAGAGAATGATGGAGAAGGAGAAGAACGGATTTCGGATAATATTAATAATATGAAAGATAGCGAGACAATTTCCAATGATGCACAAAACACGAATATGAAACCGGATCTGCCAAAAATATCGGACGATGAGGAATCGTTTCGCGGATTTACTAAGAAGGCGATATCAAAAGTTTTGAATTCGTGTCATGCTAATGTTAATTTACTAGAATCAGAATCCAATAACAAATTAAATTTAATCAAAACAGACATACCAAAGCAAACAGCGAGTCAGAGCACAACTTTAAATAATAAAGAAAAGACTTCATTGATCGAAGCTAGTTCCTCAGTCGCAAATATATTAAATGACGAATACAGTATATGTATGCAAGATCAAAAATCGATATTGGATCTGTCCCTCAAAACACAAAGCTCCTTATTACCATCGATTGAACAGGTACAGAGTAAAAAGTGTAATCACGAGAACGAGGTTTCTCCTAATCTTATAGATATGCCGTTGTCGACTCTGCACACAAGAAAAGAACGGGTAAATATGTCGACTGAACAAATAGAGAAGTGGCTGAACGAAAGCTCACTTGCCAAAGAAGAGAGCAAGCTGGAAATGGAGAATGTTGTGACCTTCAAATATGAGCCTGCGGAAAAGTTGAAGGCGGATGTTTCGCATCTGTCTATCTCGACGAAGATCCAGCATCTAGTACGTCCCGTCAATGTAACACTTTCGAAATTAGCGGAAAAGATAAGTTTGAAAGACCGTACTGCGATCATGCAGAACAGAAATATAATACCAGTAACATCCGATGTACATAACGTCGAAGCGAAACAGCAGAATACTGCCAATAAAAATAAGATTAATACCGAGTTTGTGAAAGAAATTGTTAAGAATAAATGCGAAAAGACAAGTAAGGATACTGTTCTCGCTGAAGATACTAGCGATACTGTGTCAAAGTCGGATCAAAATTCGACGGACGGCTCTGTAGAGAAGAAATCACCGACGGAAAAGAAAATATTTCAACTGCGAAAATCCTTTATACCTAAAGTTAAACGTAAGTTGGTAATTCCGAATGCGAATGCATTTTCACCGGAGAACGAGAGTAGCGTTTACGCGTTTGAAAGTGACACCGAGATTCCCATTAACACACCCTTCAGGAGGAAGATGAAGGATACCACGAAGTCGATTGCTACAACCGCAGAGACCAAAGTAATTGCTGAAACTGATAAATCGAATTTTAAGAATTGTGGAGCATCGACGGACGGCAAGGAAAAACCGCCGACCGATACTGAGACACTCGCGAAGAAAGAACAGGAGACGCAAGGCCCGATAAACACAACGAATACGACACTGAATAAGTTTGAACTGCCCAAGAATTTCGCAGGCTTAACCAATGTTCAAGTATTACCGCTCGATAAGCTCACGACGAGTTGGAGCAACGTAAATTGCAGTGCTTCTATAGCGGTGCAGGTAAATCTCGACGAGACTACGCAAGAACAAGAGAACGATGCGAATCAGCAGAAGAGTACCGAGATATCTACTCAGACCGAAACGAGTAACGAGAATGATGACGACAACGACGGACAGCTATTTTACATTCCGTTGCAAGCTGTTACGAGGAGCGGTCCGAACTTGGTACAAGGGCAACAATTGATACAAGGTGTAGCTGTTAAACTCGGCACGGAAGGACCGACCGGTCCTAATCAAAGAGTACTACTTCGGGCTAAATTGGTCACTAAGCCACCATTATCCGTAGCGCGTTGTCCACCGATAGGAACGGTACAGCCGACAACGCGTACTCCACCCAATCCCACGGCGACCACAGTTGAGCAACAACAAGTTCCGTCGACCTCAACGACCACAATTGTTTCGACCGCGGTGACAAGTATGCCGGAGACACAACCGATATCACCGGTGAAGAATGATATTTCGGTGCCAAACTTGAATCGTCCAAATGTCAGTACGAGCGCCAACAACAATTTGGAGAAACTTACGAAGTCTCCAAAGTTATCTAGGGAAAGGAAAACTTCTATAGATTCGACAAAAAGTGGCAAGAGGTATATTTAATATTAAATTTTCAACATATAGCGAGAAATGTGATTGTAGAATTATTATATACTTATAAATCTCAACTATGCTTATATGATAAACATTTTCTAGGACGCAAATGAAATGCAAACAGAAAACACCTGAACTGTACTCCTCAAGTAATAACACACACTTTCCAAGTGCGAAAAACGGAAATAATGAGGCCCGCGTAGTTGAGGCACCAACGTTTCATCCAACAGAGAAAGATTTTCAGGATCCTTTGGAATATATAGACAAAATAAGATCGATTGCCGAGAAGTTTGGAATATGTAGAGTCGTGCCTCCACCAAATTTTAAAGTAAATATTGCATAAAAAGATATTAAATAGATATATAATATACATTAATTATTTATTAAATACACACACACACATATAATAGATAATAAATATTATTTAAGTATGATTATATTAATACTACGATTGTATTAATCTTTTAGCCAGAATGTAAAGTATCTGATGACATGAGATTCACCGCTTATAATCAATATGTACATCGCATGCTCCATAGATGGGGTCCTAATGTAAAAGAAATGATGGCTATTAAGAAATATTTAGCCACTCAGAGTATTACTTTAACTCAACCACCATGGGTAAAATCATTTTATTTTCTAATATTGTTTATTGGATATTGTGTAACTTGAGAAGAAATTTAAAGTTCAATTTATATATATA